CAGGGTCAGTACATTTTAAACGCTGCGTTTCCACTAAAAAATAGAACAAACACGTTACGAAATTCATTGGTTCAATTGCCTAGTGCACTTACAAAAAGTTAGCACAAAAGAAATTGGGGTTTTAGAGTTACGTACTATTGCACAACCATTTACTCTTTTGTATTAACTTTATTGTTATTTCGTTTTTGCAGGTAAACGGGTACCGATACCAGCGCAATCTCAGCTAAATCAATCGTTTACCTGCGAAACTGATAATACGACAATATAATACTCAGCCGTCGATATCTCCGTTGTATTTGTGGAACTACGACACTGTTCGAAGTTCCTTAATATCATTCTCTTTGATCATACATTTACAATTTTTCAATGGCAAATNCGTCGATATCTCCATTGTATTTGTGGAACTACGACACTGTTCGAAGTTTCTTAATATTATTCTTTTTCATGATACGTATACAATGTTTCAATGACAAATAATTTCTACAATTGTAATATCTATATTCAATTAAACATTTAATTATATATAGATTAAACTTACCACCATGCTCATAATCACTAATTGAATATTTCTTGGAGTGAACTGGATAATATGTCTCCATGATACATCCTTGGCGTCTACTAAAAGATATAGCCCATTTACTTGTATAGGATGATCATTCAGTTCAAAGTCAAGGAATAACAACACTACTCTTATCAAATCCAGTATTTCCACTTTATTAGCATCCCAATGACCTGTATACGAATAAATTGTTGTTTAATTAACAATGTCAAGAACAACGCATGGTATACTTTTACAGTTACAATTTTTGACTTACCGTAACTAAAAAATATTATTACCATGTCATTTTCAGTTTTTATACATGATAACACGTTCTGACGTAAGCTTTCTTCTATAGCTGAAGGCTTAAGATTTTTGTAAACAACAGGATACTTCTTCCTTGTAAAATAATAGTTCTTCAGCAATGTCAGTGCTCTTTGTCTGTCGAATTTTTTTGCTCGTAGGAAACTCAGAAGGAATATATCGTCCATTTTACATTTCAGATCTTTTTCCTCTTTTATATTCATGAGATAAAATAATATTAATATTAGAATTAATGCTTTAAAATTTAAATAAACATTCATAAATGTTAACAAAATAAAGTGGTAAATTTTTTATCTACTAAATATTTATTTATTACTTTCTGTATAATGTAATATTGTAGATGAAGGAGAAATACAGAAATTCATTAGTATATCAATAGTTCTATAGAAAAATCCACTGCAACATGTGGACGATGCGAGAGAGGGAAGGAAGCCTTCTAGGAAGAAAACTTTAGTAACTTGTTTAGTAAGTTAAGGGACTAACTATCAGTGTTTAGTTCTCCCAGTCACTCAGTGTTTACTTCTTTTATTCACTTGGTTACTAATAGACGAAGTAGAAAACCGTTAATTATTCGACATAACAGTGTCACTGAATTTGGTTTCCCTTATACATTTTTTTTCTGTCATTTAGTTTTCTGTATGAACATCCTAAATTATAGGTACCTCAAAATAAATTTTAAAGATAAGTTTACTTGTGATATATCAGTCATAAGTTATTTTAATTTGTATTTATAAAATAATTATTTATAAGTTTCTTGAAAGTTATAGAAATCACATGGCTTTTTTATGGAGAAAATTATGGTAAACTCAGATTTCTTAGTTTTCAAATCAGTTGGAAATATATTTATCCTTTAATTACTTTCAACATTACTAAAAACGTAAAATTTCAACTAAGACATAATATTACATGTTTGTGTAGCATAGTTATTATTAGAATTAAAAAAGTGGACTTGATGGGATTGATAGAATAAAGTAGAGAAATATTTTAATGAGCTGCCAGGGGACTTTTCATAGTATTTTATTTAGGTCTATCTAAAAAGAAAACTAGGAAACTGTAGGCCTACTTGCCAGTCCACAATCGTTACATTGACACTGATTTTATCCACTGTGTCACTGTCACTGTGAACGCTAGTAAAGTGCACTCTATCTAGTTTATTTAACTCTAATCTTTGATATATATATAAATATTTACTCAATTTTTAAACAGTTCCTTAATTTATCTGTGTTAAACCCTATCACACTATTGGAGTATTACTTTAATCTCCAAAAATTATAGATAATCTTATGTACACTTATAATTTATGTTTGAAAATATATAATATTATACCAAGTTTAGTTCAAATTATTTACATTAATAATCGAAATTTTACTGAGAATACTGAGAAAATTTTACTGAGATTTTTAAGAATAGTACTTACTTGTTAGATATGGAATATGGATTTTCTAAAATTCTACTTTACCGTTCTTTTTCACACAAATTCTGATNAGTTGTTCAAAGCCCAAATCGACTAACTTCATTTCTAAATCTTTAATATAACCGTTATTATTTTCAAATTTTTCGGGTAACAAATTTTATATATAGTTAGGCTATGTTAAAATTATGATTTAATATTTATGTATTTTTATATATTTTGTATAATTTGTTAACGCTTTTTTGTGATTCATAAAAGTACATTTTGCACTGTTTATTTAAATTTAAATTTAAAGAAAATTTTATAAAATAATTTATATTATCAGTTTTTATTTTGTGAAGTTAATGAATTTGGCAAGTGAGCTGCTGAATCCACGTTTATTTGTTTACAATTTGTTACAGTTAAGTTAATTGGTCGAATCATTACAGTCGCAAACACAGAAGCATTGTAAATAAACCCGTCATGTTTAAATTTGATCCATTTGTAATGGAATAAGTCAGTGATGATGGGAAAGAATTTTTTAGTTATAGATTGCCGAGTATTCCAGGTATTTTGCCACTCATGTAGAAGGTTATTCCACAGTAAGTTTTTAAGGGTGGATTTATTTATTTTATTGTAAGTGATAGAAAGAGAAGAGTCGTTGGTGGCAGATTTTGCAAGAGTGTCGGCTCTCTCGTTTCCAGGATTACCCTGATGAGCATGGGTTCAGATTAAGGAGTAGTTGTTTGAGGAAGCCATAGCTGTGTTGTAGATGTCATTTACCAGTTCATGAGGTTTCTTACTTTTGATAATGGCAATAGCTGCCTGACTGTCAGTTATAATATTAATGTTATGGCTTTTGTAGTTATTTTCACACCATTGGAGGGCAGTATTGATGGCAAAAAGTTCGGCTTGAAAGACGGAGCAGTGGTCAGCAAGTCGAAGTCGCTCGTGGAATATTTCGTTGCCATCACAGTAGGCCACAAAGCTGCATCCAACATGATTGTCTATTCTGGAGCCGTCTGTAAAAACTTCAATTTTGGTATTTATATTAACGTCAAAATTAATCGGATTACGATGGCCTGGGAACTGAACTAGATAGAAAGGGGTGGTACTTCCAGATCTTTGGCACAGATGCGGTGGGAGGGGTTAATATTAGTGTCGTGCCCCCATTTAAGCCTCCAATGCTTGTGAAAAACGTCAATGACCATCTTGTCTGGAGGTTTCTTAGCAATCACCTGCAAACCAACAGTCGGGGCAGTACGATAGGCCTTTGTAATAAGGAGCAGAGCTTTGCGTTGTGCTGATGTTAAGGACCTGCGAGGATGGACTTTGTGGGCTGCCTGCCCCCAGGTGCTGCAAGCATAGGTCAAGGTTGGGATAAAAATGTAGTCATATATGGTCGCCATGGCCTCGGAGTTGAGGCCCCATTTATTTTTTGCGTACTTGCCAAAAGTATGAAAGATAAGTCCAATTCGATCTGCAATGTTCTTGATATGTTGGGTCCAAGTAAGAGTTGGGTCTAGAGTAATTCTCAAGTATTTTAAAGATTTAGCTACTCTAATAGATTTGCCATTCATCTTGATTGTTGGGACATGGGCATATAAATTTTTACTACGAGGTTTATTGAACATAATAAACCGATGAACCGATCTTCGGATCGGGGGTCCCTCCAAACAAACAAAACATAGACAAGTGGTGCCCAGTTTTCCCAACACTGTCTATATTGGTTAGACACCTGTTTAATCCAAACAGCCCTGGCTAGACAATAAAACACAATAACACACACACAATAAATAACACGTAACCCAGAAGACACAACATATCCACAGGAGGCACTGTGACTAACACAACACAAACAGTAGCACAAGTATCCAAAATGGCGATCAAACGCTGTCTTCTGTTGAAGCGATACAACACAGGCCAGGAGGACATCATGGTGACCAACAAGTAGGATCACAGAGCATATACAAGTAATCCGAGGCACAGCATTAGCTAAGCCTAAAAGTAGGCTTAGCAAAACCTGAGGCAAGCTAAGCCTAAACTAACTCTAATCACCTATACCTTAGTATGGGAGAAACACCAATAGGCCTAAAACTAGGGTTAGCTAACTTAAGTAAAATAAAACCTAAAGAGCTAAGGTAGACACGTCCTCACTCCACAAAAACATCGACACGATCTCAGTTCGAGTACAGAAGGAAAATTTCGAGACTAAGGCCCCTGGTGTCAGCACTGACAGTCGATCGAATCGAAGGATTCGGGCGGCATTTTTATTTTAAGCCATCCTTAAACGACAGTGAGCGGCATTAACGTACCAACGACTAGAAGGTACAATACCTTCGACCGTGATCTCACACGTATTTAAATAATAATGAAACATTAATGAATCTAAAAGTGTCTTTGAACATTGCAGATAACATAATCTCATCGTTTAAATTCTACTATTTTTTTAAATTTACGTTTTGTCTACCAGTTCATTTTGACTTTTATTAATGTATATTTATTAATACAGTATATTGAACAATTAGCAGTAAGATTAAATTGTAAATGTCCTTACTGATATATAAACATTATCGATGTTTATCACTGTACTCGAAATACATGTAAATCCCCAATCTGCACTTATTACTCAATATATGTATATTGAGGATAGATACAATTGTCAAGAAAATTCAGACGATAGAACAGACACTGTATGTAAATAAATAATTACAGCTTTACATAAAATGTATAAAATTTGTACTTTTATTTCCATACGAGAATAATTTCCTACATATAATATTAAGCTTTAGTAATTAAAATACGGATGAATGAACATTTAGCAAACATCCTTTATTAAGTCATAAGAGAGAATTAATTTTAAACAATTTTATGATTTGTTTCTCAAATACATATGTATAATTCATAATAGTTTACGATTCGCAGATTACGCAGCATAGAAAATATTCTTGAAGTTTTAACCTGAAATACTTTTAAGTACTATTTTCTTCTGTCCAATATTTTTCGTTTTCGACAAAAAATTCTTCATTGTCTTTTAACTTTTTAATATATTCAGATGAGTCAAAGGTAGGTAATTCTCCGTTAAACTCTGCTGGTAGATATTTAGGATCGATTACTTTGTGAAGTTCTTTCATGTCTGAACCATAAAGATGCATCTATAAAAAAATAGTTTGTAACATTTATTCCGTAGACAAACTAAATAAAAATTGGAGCAGATATATAAAACATATTTTGATACACATAGAAAAATATAATTATCAGCCAATCAATTAATTATTTAATTATCATTAATTAACGTAATCTGTTGGCAATAGAAGGAAGTTGCCTCGTTACTTGAAAACAAAAGTATAAAAAGTCACATTGTAAAATAAAAATTACACAACGTCTAAAGTATATATAAGCAGTGTTAAACTTAGTTAATTACATAGTAAAAATGAAAATTTGAAAAACGAAAAATTATATCTCTATTTCATCAAAGTTTTACAAATTTTCTTTAAAATAAATTAGTTTTGGTAAGATAATACAATGTAATATTGAAGGCAATCTGCAAGGGTATGGCATTCTATAAAAAGTGGTTGCTATTAAGGTATTATCAATCAATCAATCAACATTTACTTGCTATGGCTTTCGCCTTTGCAAAGGGGTTACAAAATCGTGTATCGTTGATAAATACAAAGATTGTTATACATGGTTTCAAAAAAGAACAACAACACAAACAATAAATGATAATAACAATAAAGCTTAATTAATAATTTTATGTTAGCATATTTAATAAATAAGCTATTAAGGTATTATACAAATAAAAAAAACCCAGAAACACATTGTTCCCAAGCCGTAGTGATGTACGAAACTACGAATAATTACCAGTGTTGCTTGGTTTTTTTCACTCAGCCATCGTTTGTGGCCCGTATAATGTAGAATTATTATTAGATATTATAATAAATAATGCGAAACCAATTCGAATTTTAAAATATTATTTATTACTTGTTATTAGTTTATTAGCTTATACGATTTGTAAAATATCAAACGTTTCAAGAAAAACTTACTCGCTTTTTTATTTTGTTAGGTAAAAATGGATAAATTATTGAATACAAAAGTACGAAAATCTTGTTCGTGTTGACTACGTAAATTCCCTTGTAGCGGACAGCAATGCATTTCTAAAACATAAAGCAAAGGTAATGTTTAATATTTGTCATAATATATATTCCAGATCAATAAGTTATATTTATTTGATTCTTAAAAACTATGTTGTGTAATAAATTCAAACACTTGGCGTTCTATGCTCTTTATTTAGTTCAGTTGATAAATGTATTATCACTGATAGAACGCCAAGTGTTAAAATTTATTACACTACATATTCTTAAACACACTACATAGTGTTTAAGAATCAAAAAAGAATGACAACATGGTTTCAGATTATCAAAGTCATATTTATGTTAATAATTTTTATTAATAAATATCTGTATTGCAGCAATTTTTTTCGCAATATATTGTTTAAAGTAAGTAATAAATACCATTCCAATTACTGTTTATTTTACAAAGTGTCTTATTATATTTTCGTTTTAAACTAACGAAACAACTGTATTTTTTCACTTTGAAACATCATATGTTCGAATTACAAAAATTCATTAATTATATTCGGAAATATTATAAAGAATAGCGTAAAACTTATTAATATTTTCTATTGAATCTATTAAAACAACCAGACTAGTTTCAATTTTTAATTATGAATTACTGAATTATGAAGCGATCGAATTAAATTGTATTTCAAAAGTACGGCAACGCCAAGGATATTCGCCACCTGAGGGAACTTTATGTATAAAAACTAATAGCAATATACGTGTTACATACATAATGAGAACTTAGTGAATCTGGCCAAGCCGTTTAACAGGCGAGAATCCATGTACTACTTTAGTGTTAAACCGTTTTATCCATAAAAGAAATCAGGTATGTAAAGAATTTGTTCGTTCGATTCTTACTACATATCTTTTAAAAGTTGATTCGAAAATATTCATGCAAAATAGCCTGTTAAATTTTTGAAACAACGAAAAATTTAGAAAAACCAGGAATAACATATAGGGAATACTTTGCAATACTTTATAGAACATTTATTTCTACATTAATAAAAGTGCTGATTTTCTGTAATAATCGTAACATTACAGCGAGCAAATATTTTAAGAGCAAGAACTTGCAATTATAGAATTTTGACCAGCTCTATTATTTTGTGTCTACAGTTGTCAAGCTGTAAGTTGCGAACGAAAGGCACATACGAAATATTATTGGTCATTTATTTTTAAATAAATAAATATAATATAAATATCCACAAACACATTTTTGATCGACGTGAAATTCAATAACTTTAATGAAAATGAATTTTCTTTTGCTGATACCAATTTGTCATCAGTATTCGTTTGATTGATACAAATTAAATTTCGAGCATTTGTTACTCGAAAACTCAACTTTTTATATGCGCAAATTTTTGTAATATGGGTGAAATACCAAGAGCAAATATGTCTAGGGAGGACTTTTTACAGGGAATTCGATCTTCTTTAAAAGACAGAGAGGTGAAGAAAATCCAGAAAACCCGTTTTCAACATTGCAGTTTATAGATTATATGTGATTGACCACAAATGGGCAAAAGTTCAACTTACACGGCTTTCTCAATGCGGTTCGTTGGAAATTTCTTACGCTTGAGTTGGAAAAACAGACTTTCCAAAAGCTTACTTAACTGATTTATCGTAATCAGTTAAGGGTGTTACTTATACATACTTACATACAGTACTACATTTTTTAATGCTACACGAGTAATAACAGGTTTCGATAAACCACTTCTTTTAATTGTCCACACGACCAAAACTTGTGAAAATTCAGTTTTGAAGAAATATGTCCATAACGTAGAAAATGCGTGAGTAATTACTCTGTTCTCGGTAAAAAATTCTGAAAGAAACCATTACACATTAACTGATACGTCTACCTATAAAAGTGCATAAAAGTGATCAAAACAAGATATCGACGGCGGAGAATTATAACGTGTTATCTCTAATTTTTCAAATTTTTACGAAAACAGTTTAAAGATTGATACATCATAAAATTGTTATGTATTTATTATAACTGAATATTACAAACTTGTATATGACTTATTACTCTCGGTTGATATTACTTCAATAGTTTCAGTGTGACATGCATGATGTTTAGGCCTATATTACGCGGAGAAATTTGCATTTCCATTTTGAAATAAGTGCAAAACGCGTTTGTTTTTTGTTTAAAGTTACATGTTTATATTTTGTCATACAACAAAACGAGTGTCAAAAACAGTAAAGAAATTCTACATTCGCCAGAAGTTTTGACAATATTTTACTATTCCGCTCTACACATTGAAATGTGTTATCGCATTTTCTAGGTTATAAAACACCCAAGTCTTTGGTTTGGCATTCTAATTCATACGATTTTCTTATCTCTAACACCGTAATAAAAGTGAAGTTCTGTTCCAGCAAAATTTCAGAAGACATTTATAAAATATAGATTATCACACAGCCATATGGCTGTATGACTGTATCACTGTATGGCTGTATGACCATATGGCTGTACTGAAATATTTTCATTCGGATTAAAGAGACAGACATTTACGGAAAGATTTATAAAAATTTACATAAATAACTTCGGCGTAGCTTAAATTCTTTTCCTTTTTTCCTCCATTCAAAGTACATTTGTTGAAGTGAAAATTGGTTTAACCTTTAAATAATTTAGCCGCCGAATCTCAGTGAAAGACTGAATTCTCGAGTTCTGTCACATTAAACATTTATTATGAAATTACTCATTGCTTCCTCGCACTAGTTATATTAAATTTTTGTAAAAACATAACCAGTTATTTAAACTTTAGTAGCTTACACACGATGAATATAATATTTTAATAAAACTTTTAGTTTATTTAATGTGTAAACAAGCAAATCAGCCCGGTGTTTCTCGTACAAGAAACAACAACTGCAAAAGTAAAGATTAATAGATTACTGTATTTTGTACTTTTAACCCAACTATTATATTATATTATTCGATTTATATTTATAAAGGGGATCTTACGTAAAAGATTTTCATACCGAACGTCCAATCTAGCATTTTGAAAATCCGCTAAATTGTGTGCAGTAGAGGAATAAAGCGTTTTTAAAATGTGTTAGATTGATCATTTGGTGTGATAACCCGTATGTAAGATGACCTTTGCTTTGTCTATAAAATTAATGAAGAACGATTCACGAAAAGTTTTACTGTTATCTAAAATGTCAGCTTTTTACAATGAAAGTGAATAGTTGTGTTTGGTGTTTACACTTCTAAAAAAGAATGATTACTTTATACAGATAGTATTGTTTGTACTGATATTACGGTAATAATAATAATAAAAAACACAGTAGTTCTCATTATACATTTAATGTAAGCAAGATGTATCGGTAAACTACGTGTTTTCTCTATTATATTATCGTATCTTTTCAGTTAACAAAACGATCTGCCATGGGCGTAGCCAGAGTTTTGTTATGAGGGCCTAGTAGAGGCCAACCTGACACAAAATTGAATTATTTCAAATTATTGTTCATTAAAATGAAATTTCCATAAGAATCGACAATAATTTAACACACGAAATATGAAACTCGCTTTAATGATACGTTCTCGTAACATTAATATCAAACTCTAGCAATGCCTTAAAAAGCCGTTGACCTTGTTTTTTAGGATCAAAATTTCTCAACTTTCCAGTAACTCCACGTTGTCATGTTGTAGAGAGTTATCGCTGATCCATTCAACCAATTATTTGAAGTTCAGTCCAATATTCAAAGATTAATTGCGGGCCGCGGTACACTATTCCCGATTAAATTAGCTTTAACTATTTATTTTTTTTTGCAAGTAGGCTCAACATTTTTTCGGCTGTGATTTTCTGCCGGGAGCCATGCTCACCCATGCTCCTTCCTGGCTGTGATTTTCTGGGGAGGGCATCAGGTTAACTGGGGGAACCGTGCCCACCCATGCCCCTTCTGGCTACGCCCATACGACCTGCTCATAATTAGGTAAAACTATTTATTTCATCACATTCAGATGTCGAATGCAATATGAACCACACAGATAAAACATTANTGCAGATAACATAATCTCATCGTTTAAATTCTACTATTTTTTTAAATTTACGTTTTGTCTACCAGTTCATTTTGACTTTTATTAATGTATATTTATTATCATCGTCTTAAACAGTCTAATATTTCATCGTCTTATATACATGATGCACTGTTTAGAAAATAATAATAATAATAATCAATGTAGAAAATACTCACTAAGAACCATCTCTCTAAATTCCTCTAGTTTCTTTTCGTCCCATGTATATTGGTTACCTCTATTGATATCCTCGTTCTGAATATTATTCATCACTTGTTTATTAAAAGCTTTTGTTTTCGTTGCAAACAGGCGTAAAATAATTCAATCTTCTGTATAATATCACATATAGAGAAGAATGGAGTCGATTGAAAGCGAGACGTTTTAATCAATTTGCATTTATTAAATGATGAGCATATTCTCTGTTGATTATTTTATTTTATCACATTTATCGCACTTCCATATTAATCAACAGTAATGATAAATATAGTTCAAAGTTCTCTATTATAGCAAAAAGTTATAACCAAATAATTTAGCTTCTAGCATCGAAACTTAAATTTAAGAATGAAAACCTATGCCGCAAATCACAGTTTTTTATTCCTAGAAGACATCTACTGCAACTAGCTTAAGGTTGAAAATTTAATATTCTTATCTATTTTACATGTTATATAATTTTTATACACTTCTCAACCTATTCATTTTCGAAACAAAACTAAAGTCGAAAGGGAATCAGGTAAAACTATTTATTTCATCACATTCAGATGTCGAATGCAATATGAACCACACAGATAAAACATTAGCGTAAAAATTAATTATACAAACCACTACACTTACAAAGGTAACAGGGCCGGAACATTTCAAATGCTGTATTTCCATTAAAAAATAAAACACATATGTCACGAAATTCATTAGTTCAATTGGCTAATGCACATATAAAAAATTAGCGCAAAAGAAATTGGGGTTTTAGTGTTAGAGACTATTGCACATCCATTTTCTCTTTTGTATTAACTTTATTGTTTTTTCGTTTTTGCAGGTACACGGTTACCGTTACTAGCGCAATCTCAGCTAAATCAATCGTTTTCCTGCGAAACTGGTAATACGACAATATAATTCTCAGCCGTCGATATCTCTATTGTATTTGTGGAACTACGACACTGTTCAAAGTTTCATAACATTATTCTTTTTCATGATACGTATACGATTTTTCAATGACAAATAATTTCTACAATTGTAATATCTATATTCAATTAAACATTTAATTATATATAGATTAAACTTACCACCATGCTCATAATCACTAATTGAATATTTCTTGGAGTGTACTGGATAATATGTCTCCATGATATATCCTTGGCATCTAATAAAAGATATAGCCCATTTACTTGTATAGGATGATCATTCAGTTCAAAGTCAAGAAATAACAACACTACTCTTAACACATCCAGAATTTCCACTTTAGTAGCATCCCAATGACCTGTATACGAATGAATTGTTTAATTAACTATGTCAAAAACAACGCATGGTGTACCTTTACAGTTACAATTTGTGACTTACCGTAACTAGCAACTGTTATTACCATATTATTATCAGTTTTTACACATGATAACATGTTCTGACGTAAGATTTCTTCTATAGCTGAAGGCTTAAGATTTTTGAAAACAATGGGATATTTTCTCCTTGTCAAATAATAGTTCTTCAGCAATGTCAATGCTCTTTCTCTGTCGAATTTTCTTGCTCGTAGAAAACTCAGAAGGAATATATCGTCCATTTTACATTTCAGATCTTTTTCCTCTTTTATATTCATGAAATGAAACAATCTTAATATTAGAATAAATGCATTAAAAATTAAAATAAACATTTAGAAATGCTAACAAAATAAGACGGTAAATTACTGATCTACTAAATATTTACTTATTACTTTCTGTATAATGTAATATTGTAGATGAAGGAAAAGTAAGGAAATTTATTGGTTTAGTTTTATAGAATAATATATCGCAACATATAGAAAATGAGTGAAGGAAGAAAGCCTTCCAGTTAGAAATCTTTTACCGAAGTGTGTAGTAAGTAAAGAAAATACAAAAAGTTTAAAGTTCTAAGTTAAGCAAAACTAGCAACTAAATATCAGTGTTTAGTGCTTTTATCTACTTGTTTAAACTAATAGACAAATTAGAAAACCGTTAGGTATTTGACATAAAAGTGCGCTCGATTTCGTTTCACCATTTTTTTTTTCTTTTTGTTTTTTTGTCATTTAGATTTTTGTACTAAACTACGTCCAGTTTTTATAGATTATAGGAACCTCAAAATAAATTTTAGATATCAGGATATTTTTAAACAGCAACTATTGCAAATTTGTTAGGGTCCGGACCTAAGGAATTTTTGAGAGAAAATTCGTTTTTCTTCTTTAGAAATCTTTCCCATTTTTATTCTGGAGAATGATCACATCTTTCTCTGGAGTCGTTTTCTTTCCCAGGGAACTCATCAGATGTGTCACTGGGTACTACTATCAAAAATTCTTGATTGGTAGAAAAAATAACGTGATTTGGCGGTATAAAAAGGAGTTACTCAAGGACAAGGAGTCGTCAAGAGTTCGCGAGGTGCCCTGAGAAAAAAAAAGTTATATCGTCGTCATCTAGGCTATCTGGAATTTTCTATCCTGTGTTTTTAAAGAACACAGTCAAACTGCCCGGATAAAGTCCTCCAGTTCTCCATTGCTTCCTCGACCGCCTATCCAGAAAAAAAAAAAACTCTCAACCGCTCTTGGATTCTGTCCCGACCGAGCAAACGACCAAAGTCAGCGATCAAAAAATCCACACAATTATCAGTACAACACAGGTATCTACACAAACTCCTGCGATTTCCTGTAAACTCTCTCTTTCTACCGCTAATCGATAGCATAAAGCTATGTATTTTTTTGTTTTTTTTTTTTTTGTTAAATTAAGTCGGTTATTTTAGTTATTAACCTTGTATCCGAGTGAATCGTTCCGATCCGTCTCTCAAACCTCCTCCATCCCGAATCCGATTGGCCACGTATATGATCGCTCGCGCATATTCTAAAGTTGCGGTTTTTGTGTCTATCCTAAAGACACAGTGGTGTCAGTCCTGACAAGGCACTAAAGAAGTGCCGACCCTCTGGTCACAAATGAATATTTCAACTCAGATAATTCAGACACAATTTAAGTTTTGTTTATTTTGATATAACATATATTTATAAACTATACTGTTTTACTGTTATACAGGATTTTAGTTTGAATGCGTTCTGAATTATTATAAATTTCAGGGTCATTTCTGATATTTCTTCTATTAATTATGTATCAGGATAATATTTATCTCTGATCAAAATCCAAATTATATATACTTCCATAATATTTAGAGATTCTCAGACAATAAATGAATTTGTTACGTGAAATATCTTTTGTAATTTTGTGATATTTGAAATATATACTGTTTAATTTCAACTATTAATCCCGAGAGATAAAATTATTCCATTTTTTAATTAATATATTTAGTTATTTTATGATATGATTAAAGTTATTGATAAGAAAATAAAAAACGAACAATGCATTCTGATAGAAGTAGATATGTAATGTTAGTATAATATTTACATTTTAAAGATAAATTTACTTGTGATATATCAGTTATAAGTTGTTTTAATTTGTATTTATAAAATAATTATATATAAGTTTCTTGAAGGTTATAGAAATCACATGGCCTTTTTATGGAGAAATATTTGAAAATCTCAGATTTCTTACTTTTCAAATTACTTGCTGATTTATTTTTCCTTTAATTACTTTCGACATTCCTAAAGACGTAATAATTAAACTAAGACATAGTATTACGTTTTTGTGTAATATAATTATTATTAGAATAGGTAAACTGGATTTGATAGGATTGATAGAATAAAGCAACGTAATATTTCAATAAGCTGCCAGAGGACTTTCTAGGGCACTTTACTTAGGTTTATCTAAAATAAAAACCAGGAAACTCAACTTGCCAGTCCACAATCAAGTAACATTGAAACTGATTTTATCCATCGTCACTGTACACACTAGTAAAGTGCGCTCTATCTAGTTTATTTAATTAATTCTAAACTTTGATATATTAATGTTTATCTATTTTTTAAACAGTTCGTTAATTTATCTGTGTTAAACCCTATCATACTATTGAAGTCTTGCTTTAATCTTCCAAACTTATAGATATTGTTATGTATACTTATAATTTATCTTTGAAAATTTAGAGTATTACGCCAAGTTTAATTCAAATTATTTACAATAATTATCGAAATTCTTATTGAGAACATCCTTTCGAAATTCCTCTAACGCTTCTTCATCCCAACTGTAATCAGGTTTTCGATCAGCTTTCGTTTCATCAGACGTATCCGTAATAACTTATCGGTATTAATTATTTCTCGTAATATGAAAACAATTTTAGTAATGGACGAAATTAAAATATAGTTCTTTACAACTGGAGATAACTGGCGTTTAATAATCTAACTACGAAAAAATTAAAGATAAATCATTAGACTTTACTACCCTTTCGATATTGTTTTTCTATTATTTCATTGGTTTAACTGATAAGACACAGTAGAATGACCTCAAACATTGATAGTGTATATAACTAAGTAGAAGTCGATGTATACAATGTACCTGTACCTCTATATTAGAAAATAAATCGGTTTTTTATACTACTGCGTTATACAACAGGCATTAAAATTTAAGCATGATTAAATAATAGAGTGTTTTATACTGTATTATTAAAGAATAATTTACAATGACATTGACATTTATTTATGTAGTTTAAGAAAATTTTATCACATAACCTATCTGTACTATATTACAGAATATTGAGCGTGATAAATAAACAATATTATGTACAAAATTCTGTTGTTTTTTATTAACTTGTTTTTGAATAAATGTAATTAAAATTAAATAAACGAAGATTTCTATTTTTCAATTTTAAACAATTTTTTTAAAACATATTTTTAAGAGATCGAAGCGATTTTACTTGTTGTTATTAAATAGTTGATATCTATATATTTAAAAATAAGTATGTTTGTTTGGTTGTTCACATTTTTAGGCTGTTCTACTAATTGCTGCGAAATTCGGCAGTTACATATACATACTTATAACTTAAATAAACTCCGTAATCCTACTCTCAAACAAATACTAAATTTCTGTAAATTAATTATTTTTATGTACTATAAATTGAATTTACTGCTTTACACGTAGTTTCATCTATTGACAAAAAATTTAACAATATCATGAACTAAATATAATTCTTTCAAAAAGGATATAGTTTAAATATATTTAAACCAGCAGATGAAAAAGAATTTAATTATAAGACTAACGATATATTCCTCTTAAGTTTTTTGACATCAAAAAGTTACGACATAAAAAGAGCTTTGAAATTATTGAAGAATTATTATGTAGTTAGAAATAACGTAAATGAACTGAAAAAGTTAACACCGTCATCATTACAACATGTTCTTTCAAGCTTTAAGCTCTGTCTCAAGTATTTACTGATATTGGAAGATTGTTAGGATTCGTTAGAACAAGTAAGATCGTTGCATATGTTACCAGAAAATAAAAATTCTATTGAAATAATATTAAATGTTATCTCCAGGAGATCCAATACAATGTATTCATTCTTTGATACACAGGCCACTCGGATATAAGGAACATTTCTCTAATAGATTTAGCGAAATGCATATTATTGCATTTCGATTACTATTTAAATGACCATCGTCTTCAAGTAAATAGCATTTCTATGTTAATGGATTTAGAAAAGTTTTCGTGGAATCACGCAATCTGCTTTACTCCAAGAGTAGTAAATATTTTTCTAACACGTTTCCTTGTGATTATATTATTAAATGTTTAGTTATAACTTATGAATGTTAAAGAATAATTATTAAGGTGTTACCAGCTATTGTCTAAGAAAAAGAAACTGAGCTCTGCGGTTAGGCTTTCTGTTTCGGTATAATACGGAAACACAAATTTTGTGGCATACTTCTTACGTTCTGGCTAAAGCACTTTCAAAAAAAACTGGAAGTTTGGTGGGGGACTTGTAGGTCCATCGCCATAATCGACAAAAACACCGGCATGCGTGCTTTAAAAATTTGATTTTGCCATGATATAAATGCCAGTCGTAAAAAGAAACTTTAAAAAATTGTCGTAGATATAAATGTAAATTCACATCAATCGAATCATCGGATGATATGTAGCGCACGACCTGCTTAGAGCATGCCATCGGCTCATTTACATAAGAAATTTGGACTTCGAATTTCTCAGCACATAGATAGAATTTGAAAATTATGCCATCTTCATGACACTGACCTTGCCGAATTGTACATATTTCGCAAAATATCATATCTAGTGGTCATTCGGTCTCTTAACCTTAGAGTAATAACGATATTTTATACCTGTCCACACTAATGTGAGGCCGGGACCACACACCCCCTTGGACGGAAACCGGCTGTCGAGCTAAAGTCAATTTATCGGTGACTTATTACGTAAATAAGACCGGTGTGACCAAGGAACGGGGTGCGAGACGATTTAATTGTCGCATTCCAGACCTAATTGACAGATCCGCGATCGTCAATCGTGAGAACATGTGAGGGATCGACCGTCGGGGAAACTTTGGACGGTCACCTTACAGAGAGTTCAAAGCAGGTCCTGCTGACACTCCTGTGGAGAGGGCGGCGGCTGAGACAGCTTCCTCCTCTCCGGGACAGAAAAACAGACATTAGGTGAGATTTACGGGACCGTCAACCGGGAAAGGGTTGACCCGACTCCGGAGGGGAATGGCCCGGACGGGACATTCGGCGACCCCTCGGCCCAATTCGCATCCCTGGAAACAGACCAGGGACCAATAGAATCGCAGGGGACCAACATTCGGACCAACCAAAATCTCGGGGATTTCGGGAAGAAAAAGGTTATAAAAGCCTGAGATCCCAAGGACACTGCGGAAGCTGTGAGGTGGTGATCGAGAGCGTCAATCCTAGTGCACGGTCTGCTGATATTCGGACGACAAAGGAGAAATCCAAAAGCTTTCGACGAAGGACAGACTCGGAAGTCGAAGAACCCGAACGCAGGAAAAATCAGGGACCCAACTTCCCGACGACTCTTTCTTCCCTCCCGGACTTCCCGTATCCGATTCGCAGGAGAACTTCACTGGAAACCAGGATAAACACTCGCTGGTGGGAGCGTACTTCCAGGATCATTGGAGGCTGCAGGAAGGTTATAGTTCACCCTTAGTTCACCTTTTTGGCCTGATTTGTAAGCATGTTTTAGTTCAAATAAACGCGTTAATCGTAGATTTACGGTCTCTGTTTATCTCTTTGCGTCCAGCAAACCACTTACATGCATTATTGCTAACCACTCCACAACGCTTGGCAACAAAATTACGCTAATGCAGTCAGAATACTGGCTTCAGTAGCGTAGCGAGTGATCGGGTGTTGGCATTATAGATAACACTGGACACTGTCTCACAGCGTAAGCATTTCATCTTCCGTACACTGAAAACTGGAATTCGACTTGTCTTCTAAATAGTGATATTGCCTTCCACATTACTAGATGAATGCTTGCGTATTCCTACGAATTAGCTGAAATCGCGCCGGTTAGTTCTGCAAACGCTCCAAGCAGACAAATCGGTTAACAGTAAGTCTCTGTTTAAATTATCAGATACATTATAAATAATTTGTAGTCAAAAGATTTCCATGGTTACTATTATAGGCGAGGTGGAAGTAAATCGTCAATCTGCATTAATATGTTATATTACATTCATGGATTAGAAAGACAATTGTCAATTTATATAGACAAAAAAAGAAAGTCTGTATGTGAATATATAATAAGGTTATTATGTATAATTGAAACATACTTTTTTATAATACCATGATAATGTGTTATATATAATAACATTGATACTTTGCATATATGTTGTATGAAAACAGATATTTTGTAAATATTTTTTATTAAGTAAAAAATTTTTTTTTTCGAAGTAATTTTTTTTTCGAAGTAAAAGTATTTTCGAAGTAAATTACTTCGAAAATACCTTTATTTTACATTAGATTAACAAATTTACATATATTTAATAATTCACAATAATTATCTTTCCATTAATTATGAAGCACACAAAATAAATATTATCTTCAAGTATTGTTAAGTATTCTCTTCTTCAGTCCAATATTTTTCGTTTTCTACAAAAAATTCTTCATTTTCTCTTAATGTTTGGTTGTATTCAGACGCATCAAAGGGAGGTAATTCACCACCAAAATCTGCAGGTAGATACTTAGGATCGATTACTTTGTGAAGTTCTTTCATATCTGAACCATGAAAATGCATCTACAAACAAACAGTTTTTAATTCCTAAACAACATAAATATAAAATAATATACAAACGAAAATATTTATCTTTAATATTTGTTATATTGAATCGTTATCGCTTATTTATTTATTTATCATTAATCCAATCAAGATTTGCCTATAGAATGAACTTGGTTCCACACTCAAACAATTAAGATTAGTGAGAACACGAAACAATTTTATGGAGAGCATTTGTGAACTTTGTCCTAGCGATCGAGAAATTTCTCTATTCCTCAGCGATAAGAAAAAGGCTTAAGTTTAAAATCTGAGCTTTCTACAGCAATTAATTTTTTTTCTTTAGGAATGTCTTCAGTGTCCAATGAAGAAGAAGAAGAAAATACAGCATTCTTGGCGACTTTTGTACTTTTCAACTTTTCAATTCATTATATTTCGAAAAGGTTAGTGAGTGAACCGTATACGGACGAGTCTTCAAATAGTGCTTACTTAATCTGTTATTTTTGACCGATTATATGACTCATTATTATTCAAACTTCTAATAATTATTATGCTTTTCTGTCCTATATCTTAATTTAATATTTATCTTGTATACTAGTACTTTATCAATTAACAGGATTTATTATAGTGGATTTATGGATGCAGAAATTTAGTGTTACAGATCACAGATAATATTTTTTATTTAGTTCACCTGTACAGATACACTTTAAACTTGTGTTTTGGATTTGTTTGTCCCTCATCAGCAAGCGTTCAAAATACACTTTCTACAATTAATAAATTATTTTTATTTAATAATTGAAAAAAATTTAATTTGTTAATTGAGATTTTCGGGGTTTCAGTAGATATAAACATGGGTAAAAACATTCTGCAAGTCTGAAACAGAAACATTCGATTTCCTCACTTATTTTCTACAACAATTGCGCCTGAACAGCACACTTACAAAGTATGGTTTGCAACTAACACAGAGCTGGCTGCTATTCCGATCTCCGATTTTGTCGGAAGTTCTTTCAATCACTGGATGTTTACCGGAATATGTGTCATTCAAATAATAGTAATACTTACGCGCTTTTTCAATTTGTCGGGGAAAAATGGACGTACTATTGAATACAAGAATTTCACATAAGTGTTAACGTTGACATAATGAAGTGCATTGTAACGGAGTGGAATGCAGTTCTGAAAACAGAAAAAAAATAAGTATTTTAACTATATTAAATATTTAAAGTATATTAATATAAATAAGGAAACGTAATCGTTAATTAGTTTGCCAAGGGATGCATTCCTAGAGGACTTTTTATAAGATACTGGCTCCAATTTAGGAATTACACAGGTAAATAAACCCAAAAAAGTTTGGAAAAGGACGAACTTGACACCAACTACCCTTGTGTTTACTTACACTGGTGGGTATTGGTGAAACCATCTCCCACCAGTAGCGATGAGAAACCCACTAGTCTATCGCTATACAGGGGTTAAATAATATAAAATTTTCATTACTTTGCCTTCAGTTTCAAAACTGAAAAAGTTGTTCTGGAATAAATGTAAATTGGTTTTCTAACTCATAAAAATTTTGACAATAGAACTTTTTATAAAAATATTAAAGAACAAATTTCAATTTTTATGAAAAAATATAACACATGATTTAACACAATAATGTTAAATGATGTTTTTACGTAGATTACTATTAGTTTTTTATCAGTTATTTTATTACCTGTACTTTGATTTAATTTGATTTATCTCTCCTAACATAATATCCCTTATCACTTTTTAAAGTTATAACAACATTATCCAAACTCTTTACTACAGATAATTCTATCTATTTGTTCTGACATTAAGTATAGGTTGATCACAATTAGACAATTTGTATTCAACGCTTTCTGAACAAATATTTAGCAGTTCAAACTCAATATAATAATATGTGCTAATAGATAAGAATACGCAGATAAAAAATTCGAGCAAAGAATTTAGTTTCAAGCGCACTGTTATAGGACTTGTTGCAGTATGAACGTCAAAAGAAACCTCATATGTGTAAACAGCACAAAAGAAACGATAGAGCAATATACAGCAATTGAAGCACACATAAATACATATTACGTTTAAGATATTTAATTAATGGTTGAATATATTCAGTAAATGGATAATAGACAACAATAAAGTATACCTTTTGAATACAACACAAATTATCAGAAGTCACAAGAATAAAGATTAATTAAAAAATATACACGTATTGTATTCATATAATTACTGTGCTCTCAGTAGAACGTTTCTGTGATATATAAAAGCACTTCATAGTGCATAAAAATGATCTACAAGAAATTATCTCCACTACAATTCCTGGATAAGAAAGTCCACATCTTACAATACCATATTCTCTCATTGTACGTATACGATTTTTCAATAACAATATTTTTTAAAGATTTTAATATATTTATGTCGTTTTTTTAGTTTTTAGTTGTACATAATTTCTATACTTACGAACATGCTCGACATTACTATAAAAGTGTTTCTTGGAGTAAACTGGAAAATATGTCTCCAGGATAGTTCTTTCGTGTCTATTAAAATATATTGTCCGTGTACTTGAATTGGATGGTCATTTAGTTGAAAATCAAACATAAGTAATACGGCTCTTAAAACATCTATTACTCCCACTTTAGATGGATCCCAATGACCTGTATATAGATGAATTATAAATGAATTGACTTTGCCAATCACAACGTATTGTGAACCTTTACAACTAAAAAATAACAATTCATAACTCACTGTATCTTCCCATTGAAATTACCATATTTTCAGTTTTTACACATGTCATCATGTTCTGATCCATAACCAATTCTAACGCTGAAGGCTTAAGATTTTTAAAAACGATTGGATACTTTTTCCTTGTAGAATAATACATTTTAAGTAATGTTAATGCCCTTTCTCTGTCGAATTTTCTTGCTCGTAAGAAACTCAAAAGAAATATATCGTCAGTTCTACATTTCAAATGTTTTTCTTCTTTCATGTTAAAGAAATAAAATGAATTCATATTAGTTTTTAAAGTTCATAATAACGATGATAAAGAACTAACATATAACAATATTTAGATGTAGGTTTTAGTATAAATTAGTATCCATGTATATATATATAACCTAATTATAGTAATAATGTATATATTAATTTTACAACGAGCATTATCCATGGAATTACTTCATCGAGGTCATACTTACATCGCTGTGTATTCGATTTCCTCACTTATTTTCTACAACAATTGCGCCTGAACAGCACACTTACAAAGTATGGTTTGCAACTAACACAGAGCTGGCTGCTATTCCGATCTCCGATTTTGTCGGAAGTTCTTTCAATCACTGGATGTTTACCGGAATATGTGTCATTCAAATAATAGTAATACTTACGCGCTTTTTCAATTTGTCGGGGAAAAATGGACGTACTATTGAATACAAGAATTTCACATAAGTGTTAACGTTGACATAATGAAGTGCATTGTAACGGAGTGGAATGCAGTTCTGAAAACAGAAAAAAAATAAGTATTTTAACTATATTAAATATTTAAAGTATATTAATATAAATAAGGAAACGTAATCGTTAATTAGTTTGCCAAGGGATGCATTCCTAGAGGACTTTTTATAAGATACTGGCTCCAATTTAGGAATTACACAGGTAAATAAACCCAAAAAAGTTTGGAAAAGGACGAACTTAACACCAACTACCCTTGTGTTTACTTACACTGGTGGGTATTGGTGAAACCATCTCCCACCAGTAGCGATGAGAAACCCACTAGTCTATCGCTATACAGGGGTTAAATAATATAAAATTTTCATTACTTTGCCTTCAGTTTCAAAACTGAAAAAGTTGTTCTGGAATAAATGTAAATTGGTTTTCTAACTCATAAAAATTTTGACAATAGAACTTTTTATAAAAATATTAAAGAACAAATTTCAATTTTTATGAAAAAATATAACACATGATTTAACACAATAATGTTAAATGATGTTTTTACGTAGATTACTATTAGTTTTTTATCAGTTATTTTATTACCTGTACTTTGATTTAATTTGATTTATCTCTCCTAACATAATATCCCTTATCACTTTTTAAAGTTATAACAACATTATCCAAACTCTTTACTACAGATAATTCTATCTATTTGTTCTGACATTAAGTATAGGTTGATCACAATTAGACAATTTGTATTCAACGCTTTCTGAACAAATATTTAGCAGTTCAAACTCAATATAATAATATGTGCTAATAGATAAGAATACGCAGATAAAAAATTCGAGCAAAGAATTTAGTTTCAAGCGCACTGTTATAGGACTTGTTGCAGTATGAACGTCAAAAGAAACCTCATATGTGTAAACAGCACAAAAGAAACGATAGAGCAATATACAGCAATTGAAGCACACATAAATACATATTACGTTTAAGATATTTAATTAATGGTTGAATATATTCAGTAAATGGATAATAGACAACAATAAAGTATACCTTTTGAATACAACACAAATTATCAGAAGTCACAAGAATAAAGATTAATTAAAAAATATACACGTATTGTATTCATATAATTACTGTGCTCTCAGTAGAACGTTTCTGTGATATATAAAAGCACTTCATAGTGCATAAAAATGATCTACAAGAAATTATCTCCACTACAATTCCTGGATAAGAAAGTCCACATCTTACAATACCATATTCTCTCATTGTACGTATACGATTTTTCAATAACAATATTTTTTAAAGATTTTAATATATTTATGTCGTTTTTTTAGTTTTTAGTTGTACATAATTTCTATACTTACGNAATTGCATGGGATGTTCTAATATACTAATATACTAATTGCATGGGATGTTCTTATATAATAATATACTAATTGCATGTGATATTTCAATATACTAATATACTAATTGCATGAGATGTTCTTATATACTAATATACTAATTGCATGGAATATTCTAATATACTAATATACTAATTGCATGTGATATTTTAATATACTAATATACTAATTGCATGGGATGTTCTAATGTACTAATATACTAATTGCATGGGATGTTCTTATATACTAATATACTAATTGCATGTGATATTCTAATATACTAATATACTAATTGCATGTGATATTTTAATATACTAATAATGTATTTTTTTCATTCTTTTCTGTTATCCGATTTTTTCAGTTATCCGACAACCTGAGTCTCCAATTGAGTCGGATAATCGATGCTCTACTGTATTACTACTGTATTACTACTGTATTACTGTTTCCTGTATTAGTAAGAAGACGTGTTTAATACACAATCAAGTTTTTAACCATGATTTTAAGAGTCGGATAAAATAACTGAATTCTACTTTGAATGCAAGATTTTACCTAATGCAGCAAAGCAAAAAATTTCTTTAAAGCCAAGAGTATTTTTATCTGGAGAATATACTTACTTTAAAATTGCAAATTTTTTCTAAATTCTATAAATAATGTTTTATAGAATTCCACGTGAAATTAATTTACTTTCAGTTATAATGTTTCACTAATTGCTTATTGTTTTAAAACAATAATTGAGAATGGTAGAACTGGATTTTATAACACTTTATAATTTATAAATGAACGTCACCGAAGACATAGAATAAAAGGTACCGACTCTCTGGTCTACTTGTTATATTATGGAGATATGATTAACTATAATTATAATTTAAGCTCGAATATTTAAAGTGTTATGCCATATATTATTTAAGTGATTTACAATAATATTATTAAATACTTACTCAGAACATCTTTTCTAAATTCCTCCAATATTTCTTCATTCCAACCGTAATCAGGCTTTTGATTAACTTCATCAGATGTATTCATTGCAATTTGTCACTGTTCGTATACCTTGGAAAATGTTAAAATTCCTATTTTTCAACCAACTTAAAATATCCTCGTTGACGAGCTGAGAATACTTAGCGTAATCATTTAGTTACGAAGGTTTTAAAGACAACTCTGTAGATTGTGTAAACTGAACCTTTACACTTTATTATTGCATTTTATATATTATCACACTCAGATATTGATATCATCATTAGTTCAATTTTACAACTACAACACTGACCTCGATACGTCTTTATAATTATAGCTTAATACAGTAGCAGTCGAGTCGACGTTTACAACGTCTATCCGTATTAGATATAAATCGGATTTTTATCCCACAGAATGTAAATTTGTTAAACAATTTGAATTGTTAAATTAATTAATTAATAAAAGGTCATCTCATTAATTAATATTTTGTCATTAAATTCACAAATTATGAATAATTTAGTAGAAATTAATCACAAAATATATCCGTAATTAATTGTATACTACCGCACGTGACAGAAAAGGGTAAGAGTAAGTGACCTGGAGCTGGAAGAGTCGATGCCAGATGTAAGGGGTGGAATGAAACATAGAGTGTTGACACATAAATCTAATTTCTTTCTCTTGTTATATATTTATAAAAACCGATATATATAAAAGACAAATTCTTTTTAATATATGTATATGTATTTTATTTAAAAACGTACGTATTTAACAACGTACAATATATATAACATTTTAAATATATATGTGTACTAGCAGGTGAGCCCGGCGTTGCTCGGGCAAAAGTAACGATAACTAAGATAAAGATTATTATGTTACAGTCAACCTTACCCGTTTTCACAGAATGCAAGAATTGGGTCCCCTTGTTTCCAGACTAATTAGAGAATTTTTAGATGGGTCTAAAAATATGTTCGAATTTCCGCAAAAACGAAAAAAAAAACTGCATCTGCGTCTTGCATGTCGCTTTCTCTTAACAATTCCATTGTTACGTAACAATTCCATAGTTTACACTTCCATTGTTACTTAAAACTTTTATTGTTACTTAGCCCTTCCATTGTTACTTAACACTTCCATTTTTGCTTTAGCACTTCCATTGTTACTTAACACTTTCATTGTTGATGGAAGTGTTAAGCCTTAATCCTGTCCCTCTCCCCCATGGGGAGGAATTTCGAAAAATCCCTTCTTAGTGTGCNAGTGTAGTCTGATTTCTACTGTATGTGCAGTGTCCATGCTGAAATGAGGTATGGTTTACAAAGAATTTATGTGAGTTTTTTGGTTTTTATTTGTGTCCTGTTAAATATTTTTATATATATTTAGTTAGCTGAAGAGGGGCTGATGCCCGAAACGTTGATGTATGGAAAAAACGTTCTAACTAAATAAAAGATTCAACTAGCCCAGTGTTGAGAAAAACGTCACTTCATTGTGCCTGTACACAATAAGTAACTTATAGAATACAATAATCTGTATGTTGCAATAATTTACGGAATTTTTATGTTTTCAATATTAATTAATGGCTATCAAAGAGAGCACATTCTAAGAAAACCATAAAATATTTTGTTGATCATGAATGAATTTTAATAGAATAGGCAAAAAAACTGTATGAAATACTGTATATCTCTTTTTAAATTCTCCTAAATTTCGCAAAATCTACGCAACTAAAATTCCCTAAATCTAGGGCAAATCTGTACATTTTCACGTCTGGTGTCGACTCCAAACATGAAAGTCGCGACCAGACATAAAAATCGTAAGAGAAAGAGAACCAGATTAACTATACCTGTATATGAACTTCCTATTTGTACCGCAAGTTACGTTATTTCAATTGAAAAATTTTGCCCTGAACGCAATTAGATACTCTATTTCTAATATGAAAAGTATGATGTATGGGGTAAAACATTACTAAACTCTAGGCAGACAAGTGCTATGTGATACCTCTCAGTGATGGCATAATGGCACGTCTATTTCGTGCTATATCATTGTCGCAGTAATTTGGTGACTATAATATACATTTTTTAAAAATTACATCCTTTTTTGTAAGATTTGTATTTAGTTAATTATTTTGTTTATTTTTCCAATAGATGGAAATGAATCGATTCATACAAATCCATTCTAAGACTTAAGATAGGGTTTAGGACATTATCTAAGTTGGAACTATTTGAACGTAAGTGCCGAATTTCATAGCAATTGGTCGAATAGCATAGGCGAGTATAGGGAACACTCACCTATATATCGATATATAAATAATAAAAACATGTTTTTCTATTTTTATCATAAATTAATTTAGTGTTTTATTTTTACAAAGTTTATTACTTCTAATTCTACCGTTACGTTGTTGTTGTTCTTGTTGTTGTTTACTGGTTCCTTTATATAATTAACACTGTTAGACTACAGTTTATTTTATTGTTGTTTTATGAAAATTATAACATAGACTCGCAAGACATTGTGACGTGGTCACAATAAATAACTTCTCGCTTCTTACTTCTGTTATACCTATGTGTATTGACATATTTTCATCCCTTCTTATAATAACAGAATTCACGAAAACACACTCAACTCTTCACTTGCCCTTCGTTATTTCCAAACGAATGGCAACCTTTAGAGTTCACCACGTGGAGGTGAATTCTAATAAAGGCGGCTATACACGATGGGTTAATCCTCAAAGGAGTAACCATGCATGTCTGATTACTAATTGCATGGGATATTCTAATATACTAATATACTAATTGCATGGGATGTTCTTATATACTAATATACTAATTGCATGGAATATTCTAATATACTAATATACTAATTGCATGGGATATTCTAATATACTAATATACTAATTGCATGGGATATTCTAATATACTAATATACTAATTGCATGGGATATTCTAATATACTAATATACTAATTGCATGGGATATTCTAATATACTAATATACTAATTGCATGGGATATTCTAATATACTAATATACTAATTGCATGGGATATTCTAATATACTAATATACTAATTGCATGGGATATTCTAATATACTAATATACTAATTGCATGGGATATTCTAATATACTAATATACTAATTGCATGGGATATTCTAATATACTAATATACTAATTGCATGGGATATTCTAATATACTAATATACTAATTGCATGGGATATTCTAATATACTAATATACTAATTGCATGGGATATTCTAATATACTAATATACTAATTGCATGGGATATTCTAATATACTAATATACTAATTGCATGGGATATTCTAATATACTAATATACTAATTGCATGGGATATTCTAATATACTAATATACTAATTGCATGGGATATTCTAATATACTAATATACTAATTGCATGGGATATTCTAATATACTAATATACTAATTGCATGGGATATTCTAATATACTAATATACTAATTGCATGGGATATTCTAATATACTAATATACTAATTGCATGGGATATTCTAATATACTAATATACTAATTGCATGGGATATTCTAATATACTAATATACTAATTGCATGGGATATTCTAATATACTAATATACTAATTGCATGGGATATTCTAATATACTAATATACTAATTGCATGGGATATTCTAATATACTAATATACTAATTGCATGGGATATTCTAATATACTAATATACTAATTGCATGGGATATTCTAATATACTAATATACTAATTGCATGGGATATTCTAATATACTAATATACTAATTGCATGGGATATTCTAATATACTAATATACTAATTGCATGGGATATTCTAATATACTAATATACTAATTGCATGGGATATTCTAATATACTAATATACTAATTGCATGGGATATTCTAATATACTAATATACTAATTGCATGGGATATTCTAATATACTAATATACTAATTNACAACTGTATAATACTGGTAAAACTGGTAAAATATTATATTATTTAAATATTAACCAAAAAGGTTAAATTAAACAAGTAAAACGGCAAAACCGTATTTGGGACACGACTATGTCTCGGAGACAGTACTAAACGGAATCACTTTGACGCTCAAAGCGGATCTCGTTCTGATTCTCCAATCTTCTTTGGCATCGAGGCTTTTCGGCGCGATCGTTTAAACTTCGCCTGCCACGACCACGAGGTCGTCCACGATACATTTTCGGTGAAATTAACCTATCCAATTTCGAAATTTCTCTCTGTTGCAACCCGTCGGCCCGGGTTGAATTTTTGTCGATGCCTAACGAAAATTTCCCGTTTTTGAAAAAAATAATTGTGGCTATTGTATCGTCCGAATTTTTTTTTTATTTTGCACAAACAACATACTGTTTAACCCGATTATAACGTCATCGAATGTAACGACAATCCTAATATAACGTCAAATTTTTATCAGTCCCACGATTTTACTATAATGTACTAGATAATGTTAAAAGAAACCTACTTGTACGACATAAAACCCTGTTTTAATGTGATATTTGAAGCACTCTCAAATTTCCAAATTTAGATTACAATTTTTTTTAACAAAGAAAATACTACGTGTTCAGTCCTAGGGAAAGAGTTCACTTCCTAGAACGACCGTGGGCAGTACTCTCACCACCTGACTTCGGTTTGCCTGTTTGTACAGAGAGTCGCCATTTCGTATTTTACTTTGACTCGGTTCTGGGTCCTCTGAGTAGGCTACTTACAAGTCTGGTTTTTTTTATGCGCACATGATTTTGGCACTTAATACTCTGTGCCAAATTGCAACTCCTGACATGTACTGTACTGTACTCCTTCATACCTCTAAGCTAATAACACAGCAGACAGTATGATTTTATAAACAAGACACATTCTTGTTGAAAATTAATATTTTAAGGTAATATTTATTTTGTATAACAACTTTTGTTAGACATTTAATAAAATAAATTTCAATTTTTTAAATTTATAAACAAACTGTTCAAACTTTTCTAGAAAAACTAAAATTTATTGTTGTGTATTAAATATTTTTTATTAATAAAAATTTAAGATTTGTTTTAGTTTTTCACATTATTTAGTTTTGTTTTATTTATTGTTTTATATTTTTTGTGTGCTCTATTTCTTGTGAGAGAGGGGGCCCGGTAAGAAGAAAATGTCTAGGGCCCCAAAGTGGGTTAATCCGGC